AGGTTAGTCATCAGACTAAATTTATACCATGGAGCTATTAATTCTCACCCTCTGTAGACAGAAAAGCAGCTGTTTCCAAGAAATAAACTTTGCTGCCCAACAGATTTCAGTAAAAGTAGTTCAAATACTTGTATGTTCTTCCTCCCCAGTAATTTCATAATTAGGGTAAGCTAGAAAACAACGGACACTAGACAAAATAAAAGACTGAAGAGTATAACAACGTAAACAGTATTTTCAGTGCTTGTAGGATTTAAGAAAGCCCCTTTGCTGAATTAAAACTAGAACAGTTTAACACAATTAACAATTAGCTGGAGGCATACTAATCACTACAAAACAAAACCCCCAAACCACCCAATGCACACTGGTCTTTCAGGAATTTTTCTCTTTTTCTTGATGCTAATACCTTTATTGTGTCTACACGCAGAAGTCTCCTTGCCTCTTCTGATCCATCAAGCAAGCCAATCTCTCCTAGCATTTTGTGAAATAAACTCTCTTCTCAAAACTCAGTCATATCTCTAACACCTCTTCTTATTTGCAGCTGTCCACTGGAAATCTCACGATTGATCCATCCCTGGATGGTATTTACCCTTTTCACAGCTGAATTAATCTCAATAGTTCATTTCTCAAGTGTGACTTCATGACAGAGATTGTTCTCTTCCTATATAATTTTCACTCAATAACCTGTCACTTGCAGAACTTTCTGGCTTGCTATTAACTACAAGAGGACAAAATCTATAAAGTTATTATCTTCTGCATGTTTTAGTGTTGATAAGAGTCACCTGTTATCAACACTTAAATTTCATACTTGTGCTGCTGCCTGAACAAAATGCAGAATGTGCAAGCTAAACCCAGATTAGATCTAGTAAGTATTTCTCAAAGGCTAATATTAAAGAGTCATATATATAACGTGTATCTTAAGTATAAGAATCATACTTGAAGAATGCTTTCCTTACAGAAACATATCAGACTATTTCCTTCATTCAAAAGCAGCAGTACACTTGGTAAAATTGCCATAGTCATACTCAATGTCAATTCAAAAAGCATCTATTTTCAAAGTAATTTAAAATGAAAATGTCTTATCATCATGATTATCTCCTTACTTGAACTTTCAAGGACTGCAAAGAGGACTACACAGTAAGAATACTGGCTTTTCTGAAATTCATTCATGACATTTTTAATACCTTGAAAAATAATTAAAAATACCTTTAGACATTGTCTTGCATTTTACAAATTTCCTTCTAAAATAACTGTTTCTTTTGTCTTGGAAATCCTCAATATTTTCAAATTTCTATGAGATATGACTCAGAATATATTCTTTCTTTGGTCTGTGTTAGATAGATAAAACCATTTCTATTTTCTCTTGTTGTAGGTAGTCCACAATTCTTCCATATGACAAATTAATTTTCACTTTATGAATTTTAAAACAATTAGGCTGAATAATCATTAATATGCAGGAGAAATCTTCAGTGGTGCAAAAGCACCCTGAACTGTATGCAGGGACAATGCAAGAGAGGGAGAGAAGAGTACCTCTTCTGGATTTCTCCCCATTCTGTAACTAGTAGAAGTTTTCATACCAGTTAGAGTTCCCCAGACATGCTGAAAACCAAGGACTTGGCTTTCTGTTCTGTCAGCCCTTCTACAGGACTGCATCCAAAACATGTTTGGGTGCGATGAGAACCAGGTACTAAGTGACTGGCAGCACAATCCTCTAAATAGGTACCAACAATTAAAAAGGGAAAATACATGTGCCACTCACCCAAACCCTTAAGGTGGATAAGCTTCCTCCGGGCATTTTGGTTTGTGGAGACAGAAGCTGAAGTTGTAGGCCCTTCCTGAAGACCCTGTGCTCCTAAAAAGTGCCAGAAGCTGCATGCAAGACTAATCGCACAGACAACTAACTAGCACTCTTTAAAACAAAGGTAAAAAGCCCACACTTCTAATTCCATTGTATGGTTAAACTGGCTTAAAAAAAAATACATTACATCTATGATTAAGACTTAGGAAAATAGGGCCTGCAGAACTGCAATTCCCACATCATTGGTGAGGCACGAAACCTGAGCTTATTAAGTACCACCAGTTCCACTTCCTACCCATGTGAATGTACAAGATACACTGAAAACCATCTGAAGTATTCTTGTCTTCTCCATGAAGCGTGGGTTTTCCACTTTAATGTTCGATAACCAGAGACGAGATAATAAATCTACGAGGATTTAAGATTGCTATCCACGTTAAAACCTTCCCGAGCCAATGGAAACATTGCTGCGCAAGGTCTGAAGTGATTACATAATTATCTAATTAAGCCAGAAACTGTTTAAAATGAGACACAGCCAACTACATTTTGATCATGTCTCATTTATGCCACGTCAAAATAGGATTAGCTGCCTTCTACATAAAAGGAAAAAAGGGCTGAGTGACATCTCCACAAGATTTTTATTTTGCCTTAATCCACAGAGTAACCCAAGTGATTAAAAATGAAACAATGGTTCAGCTAGTCACAACTGCCTTTTAACTTCTTTCCGCCTTAATTCACTCTATTAGAAATACGCAATTTATAAATATTACCTAAAAAAATGCTTTACTGATTTTTTAAACAGCTCATTTTAAGTATTTCATTTTTATTATTTAATGCCATTTTCCAAGGGACTATTAATTCACCTGTCCAGTAAAAAACAAATCAATTACAAACAGGATGCTACACTAGCTACAGTACTGGGGAACTATGTTTGTACAGTTTCAGCTGTAATGCCTTAATACAATTTAACACAGCATACATAACACTTGTAAATGAAACAGGCAGATTTGCTTACCAGAATATTCCCATTTTTGTTCCATTTACTGACCAGGATAGAGAAACATTCGGAATTCTCACATGTCCACATGTACACCTCAGCCATCCGCCCTTTCCATGTGAATCATTAAAATCTGAGCAGCACAAGCAGTTTAATAACACACTGCTGTGAAAGGCGTGACTGAAATGTATATAAGGACATACTATAAAGAAGGAATAAATTATTTCTACTGTAGCTTTTAAAGCAATTCTACTAGTCCTGAACGCTGTAAGGACCAGAATAGTATCATATTTTTGGTACCTCTACAGAAAAAAACAGTGCCATGTGAAGAAATGTTCGAAGCATATGATCTATTACTGTACATTTATTTAGCTACAAATCAAACTGATGAAATGTCTTCACTTACATTTACATTTCTAATATGGAATAAAATAGAAGCAGCGTGCCAAAAGAAAGAATACTGTCATTACAAAACTGTTCAAAAATTCATTCGCACTAAGATGCAGAGGCCACAAAAGCCTACAGCATTTGGTCTTTCAGCACCCCAAAGAAGTATTACATCTCATCCTGCTACAGGGAAGCAATCTTTTTAATAGCAGGTATATGAATATTTCTTAATTTCTCATTAACCTCAGCCTACATAGGTGGTAAGCAAACACATTTTCATAAAAATATAATAAACCATTTTTACGTTTGTGTAGTTTACTGTCACCAAGCTACAGAAGAAAATGTGATTAAAAAAATTATAATAATCCTGATTACTAAAGAGGTGCTAACCTTTGCAGTATTAATGTTGACACTGAAGCTTCTACTTACTGCTACCTCTGCCCAGCAGTACTTGGAGAACTGATATAGCTAAAGCTCACATTTCAGAAATACTCTCCAATTCTAATCCTTATAGAAGTATAATTTCAAGGTTGGCACATGGACCATGCACAAAATAGCAATTCTACTGCCCAGCATATGATTGCAAATAAGGGAAAAAAGATTCACAGCTGCACCACCAATTCACCATACTTCTATTTCAATTTCAGGAAACAACAGTAAGAAAAAAAAGACAACTTCTGTTAATATGTACAAAGTAGTTAAGGATACAAAATGGACTATACCAGTACCATATATATTGCTTGCAATACTGACAATTTTGCTTGCAAAGTGGTCGCACCATGTTTAGCAGAACAGACAGCAAATGTTGTCATCTTTAAGTAAATAGTCAACTATTCTGTCTAGATTTATGGAAAATAACTATTTTGATACACAAAGTATTTCTATCAATACAAATATAAAGAGTTATCCTATATCAGATGAATTGCTTAAAACAAGATATTCAACTTCACTGTTACTTAAGATCTAATTTGATGGTCTGAATTACAACTCCTAGGTAGAGCCCTGATAAAGTCATGCTCCAAGAGGTAATTAAAACAATATAATAGCTCAATTTACTCTAATGGTTTGGTCCTGGACATCAACTGAAAAAAAAAAAAAAAATAAAAAATAAAAAATCCACGTGAATTGTAACAGAAAAAAAACCAACCTCTTCCAGTGGTTATATAAAGCAACATAAAAAGAATTGAAGTAGATATCCACATCTTATTTCTATTTCAATTAATGCACAGTTGTAAGCATCATTAGTTACAAATTAATAATTAATATCATGAGAATGTTATTAATTGCATTATTAAGAACATTGTTTCATATGACATAGGCTGCTCACACTGATCAATTGCTTCATTTAAGAACATATGTTTTAATCATAATTCTATATATCTGAAGGAAACTAAAAATTAGCATGACTGCACCTATACGAGTGAGTTTATTGCTCTCATTTTTTACGTTTGGTTTTATCTTCAGATAATAATTCTCTGTCTCCCCTCATCCTCCAGTATCGCCCCACCCTCAGGCAAGTCTGCTTAAATTTTTGCTATGTATTCATATTCTTTTACTAATTCTGATTAATATTAACGTGACAATAATGCAAAGCAAAGCAATAAACGAAAGCCCTGACAAAATAGACATTTAGTCACTATTTCTTTCAAATCTGCTAAATCGAGTTGGCAATTAACCTCTCATTTATAGCACACCCTTTACAAACCAGGCAATTATGGCAGCTGAGGAAATTAATTAAGCTAACTTTAATTTCATTTTGAATTTTACATTAGCTTGGCAAATTAAGCTGACAAATAACAGACGTGATAATAAAGTTCCACCTACATAAATTCTTCTGAGTATCCTCAGGGGCTCCCGGAGATGACATGGCAGTGAGAAATAAGCAAGTAAAAAGAAACACAGTCCTGGTCAAGTGAAAGCTCCGGTTACCAAGCAGCTTCACCGATGTGCATCTTCACTGATGTAGAACAAAGACCAATGCTAGAAGGCTGCTTTTTCAAAGGAGTAATACCGCAACTGCCAGTTTTCAGTGGGTCACTCGCACACAGATGCATACACATGGATACTTCAACTCAGCGCCTTTCCAGAACCTGAGCACAAGCTACCAGCCGCTGGGCTGTACCAGAAATGCATGCATGTATTTGGGAAGGTACCACATGCTGCTAAATAAAGGGGTGATACAAAGACAGAAATCCTCCCAGCAGGTTATAATCTGATAACATGCAGTTACAGCATGTGTGTATTTGGCAGAGAGCTAGAAGCCTTTGAAAATAATTTAGAAGCCAGGGAAAAGGTACGGAAGGCTTCCGAATTCTTTCTTTGTTAGGTGATGATTCATAAAGCTCTCCCCTCAAATATTTTTCCTTAACATGGCTCAGCTCAGATACCCCACAAACCAGATCACATACTATTCTTACTTCACACATAAAATATTAAAAATCTAGGATAGGATATTAAAATAAATCAGGATCATTCTTCTCTACTGAAAACTGATTTTTTTTTCTTACATATCCAGACTACATTTTCATGAAAAATTCAAAACATGGTTATGCAGTTAAAAAAAAATTACAGAAACAGCATACGACAGAGAATCTTTGGTTATGGTGATGTTGCAGTTACACAACAGTGCATTTATGTTCCAAAAACTGTAAGGCGTTGCTCAGAATTGGGAACACTAGTACGTGTTGCCTCTTCAATTTAGAAGGGTGCACAGTGCTGCTGCAAATCATGATAGTCATAACAATTCCTTTCTTTTACTTAAAATGATCACAGTTTGAAAAGCTTCTTGGTGACAATTACCAAAATACAGAGTACAGACTAAAGGGAAATACGTAACAAATGCTTCTCCAGTCATCATCATTAGAGGAAGAATCACCAAGAATTTATGGGCCTACCAAACTCAGGTTTATTTCACTCATGAAAATAACATCAAATATATCTATGGGAAAGATTAAAAGAATAATAACCATAAGATAATCCTGGCTTTCATTCTGGACTTGGGTAATTAAAGGATGAATTCAAGTTAGAGCTGCAGACAGAATCGGATTCTGTTTTTTCCACTTCAGTCATTTAAACATTATAGACAATTAAAATATCACACATTTAAATGCTTCTTTTCTACATAAACTGAATATGACAAGACTTACGTTCCCATGAAATTTTTTATTATCTACACAGTTAGCTATTCACCCTGGCAATAGCCAGAGAAAATGTCTATTGTGCTGGTCCTCCACCCCTTACAAAACCAGGATTCTGCAAGGCTGACTCCAGCAAAGGGCCAACTTCTACTGCAGCCAACTGGAGAGGTACCTGCACATGCAAAAGCCATCTTATTTTAAGATGCAGTGATGTCAAAATTGTTGTGATACATCTCACCTCCAAAAGGGCTTTTGACCTAGTGCAACATTAAAACACAAAAGTAGAAGGACTCCAGGAAAAAGAAAGCTAGGTAAATGCAGCAATATTAAAATTCGTCAGAATAAACTAGCTCCCTCAAAATACAAGGCAACATAAGACAGGATGAAAGAGCATAAGGCTGCCACATTAAAAAACCACAAGATTCTCTAAAAATACATGTAGATGAAGCAGAATTTTAAAAAAAGAAGTGTTCCTACCCTCCACTCTTCCCCAGTCAGAATTAGCACTAAAAAACCCCTGATAAACACAGGATTTTAGCAGCATCTGCAACATTAGCATTCTGTGGGTTATATTAACTCATTGTCTGAATACTACTTTCAGGTGATAGCCATCAAGAAATCCTGAAATCTAGCTGAGCAAAGATATTACAAACAAACAAGCAGCACTACCAAATTTGCAACTTAGAAAGCTATACTACGGTCACAACACACATCAAACAAAAAGTAGAAAAAACATTCAAAGCATTAAACACAGAATTGGCTTGGGGTGACAGAACCAAACCATATCTTTGATCAGCTGAGTTGCAATGGCATACAGTATTTGTTCCAAGGATTATCTAGTTTGTCCATAAACAACCTGGTGTATCTATAGCATCCCTTGCTAAATTTTAGATTTCCTTTAAAAATTCTACTTCTTACTTACAGCTTTGGAAATTCAGACCCATTTCCTATATACATATATATATGTATATCCACCTTAGAAATGGATGCCATTTTATGATTGACTAAGATCCAACCTAGCCTGTACTGCCACTATCAAAGAAGCTCTGTTTTTTCCTCACCAGTGGAAAACTAATAAAAAATGGGTAGATGGGAAATAATTTCCCATCATATCTGATTACTGATCTAGTTGATAGTGTAGCCCACCTTTTGGTAAAGCATAATGGGAAACAGCGTTCTGATACAGCTATTGAAGATAAAATTGTAGATATTTTTTCCTGCAGCTTATATACACTAACCCCACCCTTTTTTCCCCCTTCCATTGATATGTAAATTATATTTCTTGTATAGAAAATACTGTCTGCCCTGAAGACTTGACACTTGTAGACATTACCCTATTAGGTAACAAATTTCTTTCCAGTCATCTGCAAAATAAATGCATACACAATGCTGCTATCCTTTGTAGTTTGTTTTACCCCAGTCATAATAATTAATCCAGCAATTGTTTTGTTTTCTTGTGAAGAGCAGCTAATAAATTTTCATGTACACCTACTGCTCAATACAATAGTGTTGCAATAGAAAAGTCATGTTTAAGGGGTCAGCAAGAGGCAAGCAATTGCTTTTGTGTTTTTTTGTACCACATACAGTTTCTGTCTAGATAGAAAACTGAAAAATTCCACTGTTATTGGGTATGTATTCATACCCTGAATAAGTTCTGAAAGTATGTCATTAAGTCTGATAACTCAGCCAAACAGAATCAGAGGTGTGAAACTCAGCATTACCCATCTGCAGGATACAGAAATGTGTATTTAAAAGCTTTTACATATCAATGCTGGTGCTATCTGCCCCAATGTATAAAGCTTCAACTATTTCTTGGGGAGGATTAAAAGACCAAGAGTGAACCTTCCTTAAATTTCTCTATTTAAAATGATTATTTATTTTAAGGCTTGATTTGAAGTCCATACCTACTTCAAGGAAGGCAAAAAAAAGGACAAAAGTTACAAGTAGCTAGCTTTACAAAATGTGTCCTGAGAGCTAAACAGATGTGAGAGTTTGCAAACCTGAAAACACAAAAAGCAAACTCAAAAGTAAGGTAGCGATAAAGACACTTTATCATTTAGGTTTCTTTGCTATCTGCCTTATCCTGTCACACTATAACAGAAGGCTTAAACATTTAAACTTATTTGCCTTTCACTCAAGGTTTGATTACAAGTTCCCAAGTCTCAAATATTCCCAGTGTCAAGAGAACGGCTTTCATATATGGGAGTCTTGGTTAATTCTTGCCACAGACAATATAGGATATACAAAGCCGTAAGGTCCTCCTCCCATAGTCTGGATGGGAAAGAAGCTGGTAACATATGTTATGAACTAGAAATCTGTCCAAATATTTTCAGCTCACAGCAAAATAATGATGAAAAACCCTGAAACCTGAATATCCTTGAAATTTTTTACTCCATCTTAGCTTTATTAAAACAGAATTAAGCAATTGTTTCTCAACTGTTTTCTAGTATGCCAAAAGACGACTTGTCTTCTTTTGTATTTGTGCTACAAGGATTAAATATTGACAGTTTTGACCATGGTCACCTAAATAAATTTTAAAACCATCAGGAAACACTCATAGCAGAGACACTGCCTTTCTTCCATAGCATGTTTTGGAAGATGCACTCAAACAACCAAAGTCAACCTCCCTCTCCTACTATTCAAATGAGTCATTGAAATGCCAAAATCACGAAATACAACAATTAAAATAGAACTCTCAATATTAAATAACTTCGTTACGGACACAGTTTGTCCACAAAAAATTCTTCACAGTAATTAAAAACCTTCAATGTTCCTAATGTTACAGACTCTGGGGCAGTATATCTGGAAATGATAAAGTAAAACTGCATGTGGCTAGTATGATTTTCTACCACAATATCTCTACTCGTGCTCAGAAGAAACATACAGGATTGTGTGCTGAATATTACAGCTCAACTTCTAGAACAACTACATCATTGAATGTATGAGCTTTGTCAACCACAATCTGTAAAGATCTCCACTGCATACTACCATCTAGAAGACACTGTGAAGATTAGGAAAAAGTTGCTTATTTTGACAGCCATCAGAATACAGCAGGATAAAGAGGATCCCTAGACTGGAAGACAAAAAAAAACCCACAAAAAACCACCACCACCAAAAAAAAAAAAAAGAAAATACCAACACCACCAAAACAAAACATTTTGACACACTATTTGTTGAGAAGAGTAGATTTCATAAAAAAGAGAACAAAGGGATGGAGTCAACAGACTGCTACAAATACTGTGTGCTCTTAGAAAACGGAACAGTGAAAGCCAGGAAATTAAAGTTTAGACACAAACATATTTAAGTTACTGATGAAAGGACTACAACTTCAACAGAAGTATCTTAGATGCATGAAGAAGGATGATAAAAGATCTGCATATCAAATGTCACCCAATGACTCAACCTGGAAGAGAAAAGCAAGAAAAACCACCTCTTTTCTTTACCAGACTCATTCTCAGAAATAGTATTTTAATGGCAGAGGGGTTGAAACTAGATGATCCTTAATGTCTCTTCCAACCCAAACTATTCAATGATTCTATAAAGCTGTTAAAACTTACCAGGACTTGTCTGGGAGAGATCTCTGATGCTAAAGGGCAGAAAACCTATTTTGTTGTATATTAAACAGAAGTGCTCAAAACGGTCACACAACTTGTTTCTCTGAACTTGAATGAAACTAATGCTGTTAAAGCATAGAAATATGCATGACTCAGTTGCCAAAGCCATGTGCCTATCGGCCCTTACAAAGTTTCTGCTACCTTTCATTGTCCAAAAGCACTGTGTTGCTGATTTCTAAATGGCCTCTACTGCTTTAGCTTTTTATCCAGAAACAAGCTGAAAGCATTTAATCCTAAACATTTGTTGGCTGGTTGGTTTTTTTCCTTTTTTAATTAAAGAGACTTTTAGAAGCAATTTTAAAATCTATCATGTATATAGTCC